GGGGGGGGGGGGGGGGGGGGGGGGGGGGGGGGGGGGGGGGGGGGATCGGCGTGGTCGGAACCAAGATATGATGACTGCGCGTGTACACTGCATGTACCAACGCAGCATGGCTAAATAAACTATGATCCAGCAAGCTCCCGAAAGTTAAGGCAGTTTCATCTCAAGCCTGGATTTCGCCAACACCTGGACCGAAAAACCTTATTTGCTCACTACATCGGAAAGATGGTCAGTTGTCGCAAAACACGCAAGCAAAGAGACCTTCGCCTGCCAGGCCCGGTAGACCGAACCCCACGACAAGGACCAGACGCGTTTGGTCGGCCCACGTCGCACGCGACGCCACCACTGGACGCGTGTGCGTCGCACCTCAAGAGTAACTTGTTGCTGCAATGGCGGAGAGACCCAAAAGGCTGCCGTAGCGAAATGTGTGTCCACAAGGAGCGTATGCCAGTGCTTGGCGGATCAACTACCAAAACTGTGATGGTAGATGAATGCCGACGAAGGATGATGTATGCATGCACGCATGCACCAACGAAGAGAATGGCGCCCCTCAATACCAAGACCATGCCTTTATTGGTAACGACCCAGCGACGAACACACCGCACCATTCATCACCGAAACAACGCACGCACCTCGTGATGATGATCACCACGCCGCGCACCGCTTCCTAGCGCCGCGCCGGCGGTTCCAGGCCGCCTCTTACTGTCGTGCTCTTTCCACCGCCGCCCCCCCGCCGCCTTCCGACCCTTGTCCAAGACCCCGCCGCCGCCGCCGCCGCCGCCGCCGCCGCCGCCGCCGCCGCCGGGCTCGACGAGGTGTGCCGGCGCAGACACCGGCCTTATTCTGGCATTGGGTGGCCGGGCGTCGGCGATAAAAGCCTTCACCTGCGGGAACCCGGACCAAAAGCCCCCCGCTCTCGTGGTGTTACACACTGATGGCTGTGTCACTCTCGTCTTGCTGTCGGAGAAAATGCTTTGATAACTGCGTAGAGTGTGGGTGTTGATTCTCCACGTTGTTTTACGATCGGCAACTGTTGGTACTGCTGTACAGGCACCATCATCCTGTTTTCATTTTAGTCTAGTTCTTGCTAAAAATACGCTTGTACCGCACGCTGAATACCCATGTGACAGGTTGCAGATCACACATGGCTAGCACGACCACAACCCTATTGCCGACTACTGCTGGGCTTCATGTTGCGCCAGTTTCAACCTCTAGAAACTAGTAAACTGTGTCATTGATACTATCATATCATGCTACACTCATGCCTGTTCGTAGCCGGTAGGGAACGAGCCCAGCCGTCCGGCGCAGGGGTGTGGAGGTTTGACATTGGCTCTCTTTATTGCCCTACTCCCTTCAGCTGTCGTGGAGTTGCGATCTTCGTCGGAGCCGTCAGCCTGCGAGATGGTTTCATAGTTGTGGTTACTCTTGAACTGCCACTGCTGCTGTTGTTTTTGATGCGCACGCATATGGACATGGCAGAGCGCGCCATGTGTTAAAGAGTGTGACAGTTGTTTTGGTTTCGACACGGGCATCCGGGATTGGAAACCCTCCAGCTTTCGCTGCGATGGTTTGTTCCTGTTGAACATGTCGTTGCCTTTGGTATCGTGACATGTCATGCGGCGTTTGACCGTAGTCTCGTTCAGCTACCTGGAGCAATCACGTATATTTAGAGACCAACGACAGCAACATCTCGTCTCACACTCTTTGTTACCCTTGGCGCCCACGAACCTCTAACGTTCGGCCGCCCACTCCTAGCACGACCGATTGGACTTTCAAGTCGATGTAGCTCAAATCATCGGGGTTGTACGAATCCCCGAAGGAAAGCTGTTCGTTTCCGAGCTGCCGCAAGGAGTGCACCTTGAGAAGCACCGAGTTTGTGAACCTTTTTCATCGCAAACAAAGTAGTGGTGTTGCGCACAGCGCAGAGGGTAGGGGGGGGAGGGGGGGGGGGGGGGGG